GGAATGCTAGCGGAACTTCCGCCGCTGGTGGACAAAAATTCGTTATCCTGCAATCGCGTTCACAAACACCTACTGCCTCTAATATAAATACTAATGCAATTCAACAGCAACAGTCACAGGCACCGCAGCAGCAACCACCACTACCACAACAACAACCACCGCCTCAACAAATGAAACTGGCACAGACCAATGTCGGTCAACAAAAGGCACATGTACAAAATTCCACTACGAAAGTAGTTGTAGTGTCTGCCAGTAATCATACTAATACATCAGTGACGCAAGTATGATCTATTAATTGATCCATCGATATTATGTATAAATTTAAGTTTCAATGTATTATAAATATTCTAAAAATATTCATATTTTTAGCAAGCAAATCTAACGGCAAGAACGCAAAATGTCTTCGTAACACAACAGAATGTCGAAGGATCACTCAGTCCAGAAGAGGAGCACTCGTTTCAATGAAAGTATATATATATATATAAATATATAAGAATGATAAACATATGAAAATAGAACTTCCAAATCCTTCCTTATATAGGTAATACGTTCGCTAGATAAGAGCAAATAGTTTTTAAAGAAGAAAATAAACTTTTATGCAAATTGAAACAAAGTTTTTTTTGGATGTTTTCTATTTCTTAAGTCTAACGAAATGTTGCTTTGTATTTTCTTGTTTGATTTACTTAGTTGCAAATTTTTTTTCGTTTGTATTCTATATTTTTATAACTTTATGTAGCACACACGCACACACACAAACATTTTTTCCCCCATTCAAAAAAATATTGTAAATTCTATATAGCAATTAAAATATTAAAAATAATGTTTCTATATTAAATACGATTTTTTTTATTATAGATATAATTATCAATTAATTTATTATGTTGCATATTGTAATCAAATATACATTAATTATAAATGTAATTATCTACTTTTCGTGAGGACAGTTGACTGTTTTTTTTGTTTTGTTGGATCATATTTAAATGTCTTAATTATAGGACCCTTACCAGCGGCATTAAACTGTACTGCATCTGCTCTTTCTCTATCAGCTAACTGCTTAGATATCTTCATGTTTGTCCAAGCTAAAATGGAAATAATATTTATCGCACATACTTTTGTGAAAAATATATATACATAATATTTTCTTTTTATTATTTATAATTATTTACGTACGTACTCGCAAATATTGATTATTCTTAATTTATTAGTTTTATTCCAATGCGTAATATAATATCATACATAGGAATACTCACATTCTCGAAATTCTTCGATGAACTTCTTCTTCTTCAATGAACTACCAGGCGTTGAGGAACCGTGTTTTATTGCGATAGGCATGTCGAGAGCTTTTCTTATATATGGGATCTTTAACAAACTAGTTTGCACCAGAGAAATAAAGTTTGTCGACACCCAATATGTTAGAATAGCCTGCAAATAATATGAAGAGATACGTTTGTGTTGGAGAATGTGATTTAAAAATATATATATATGCTCTTATTAGTTATATGAAAATTTGGTGATGCATAAACACTTTTGGATTAATCTCTATAGAAATAAACCATAATATAACATTGATATTATTATACTTACACCAGGGAAATGTATCATGAACGGCAATATAACAAAAGGCACAGCTCGCAGGACATATCGAAATACACCCATAGTTTTGAGATTAGTGCCATCTGCACCTAATTCGATTGTGATATACATTGTTATAGAAGTAACTACCGGCATTATGTAATAAGGATCGTGTACAGTGAGATCTTGTAGCCACCAAAAACCACCATGTCTCAAGCTCTCGACAGGTGCGTTTGCCATTCCCCTCAAAGCTAGAAAGAAGGAGAGGAACACTGGTGCCTGAAAAATTTACATCAATTAGCAAATTATTTTCTATCTTATCTTCTTTTACGCACGTTTATTACATGTATAGAATTATTGCATGCACCTGAACTAATGGTACTATGAAATTCTTTAAGGCACTGATGTTGTGCTTTTTCATATATTGCATCATTTCTGTCGCAGACCGTGCACCTGTCCGTAAAAAAAAAAAATTATATTAGTTACTGTGAACTTACAATCATAGTTTTTAGTAACAAAACTAAGAGAATTCTTTACAAAATTTTTCTGACATACTTTCAATATGGTCGCCACATTGCCTGGCCTCTGACAGTCTCGCTTGTAGTTCTTGTATCACTGGCATGTGATTGCTGAATTTGATCATATTCTTCTGCGCCTTTATTACCAGGGGGAATATAATAATCCTTACACAAAGAGTACCTGAAAACAATTAAAATAGTATTAGTAATAGTGTTACAACTTTATTGTATATATATTACATGTATAATTAAATCTTATCTATATTTTTTTCTTAAGATAAAGATAAAAAAAGACACCTATGACAATTGTTGTCCACCATGGAATATCATAACTAATGTGCATAAATTCCATAAATCTCTGTATAAGTCCGACTGGAGAGTAACCACCCAGTCCTATACTCTCCAGAGTTGGCTCTCCATTTGGATGCACTTTTACAATATTTTCTACTATATCCTCTAATGGTGTTGGTGGATCTATATATATAAATTATAGATTAACAAATAGTAAGCAAAATGGCTTTTATAACTTTTTTATTTTCTCTCTTTTCTTATATATAATTACATGAGAGAAGTTTTATATTAAGAATAAAAGAAAACTCTCTCTTTTTCATACATTAAGTTCAGTTACTAAAGTATGATAATTACACATTTTTGCTATAACAAAGCATTAAGAAAATCAAAGAAATATTAACAGTGTACAATTTTTCTATAAATACCTGGTATTTCATCATATGGACTCTTCTGTGACGATGTTTCATTGGTACTAGCATAACGAACCAAAAGGATTCCTGTAACTCTGCAGTTTTCGTGCAGATTGAACAAGGAATTGCTTCTAGGAGTTCTTTTTATTTGACTGATTAGATGAATATGTCTACAAGTAATGATTTCCTAAATGAGAGAACAAAACAGATTTTTCAGGAACAATATTTCTTACCATATTACTTTGCAAAACTTATTACTGCAGAAAATTGGAGTATAGATTTTTTTTGTATTGATAGATAAAATGTGTTCAATGAAATGTCAATATATTCAGCATTCTTTTTCAAATTTATGCAATTAATATGTTATTGTTTTCTCGTCGTATTTTCTTAGATATCGACTTATTGGTTTATATTTCAAAATTCTAAGTAATAATCTCTAACCTAAACGTTAAGGAAAGCTGCAAAATATTTTACCTGTGATATCATATTTGTTTTTAACAGCGCTCGTCGACAAGCGATCGCGGATGCTCGTGTAAACATTTTTACGGTTTTTGATTAAACTGTCAACTCTTAATTAATTTGTAATATTTGTGTTTTTCTTATTAAGAATCGGCTTGATACATCGTACATGTATAAATACAGCGGCGCGGTTTCTCTCTGGTGGGACTGCAACAGAATAACATAACGGGTATTCTCTCTTTGGCTGTTTGCGCATGTGCTGTTCCAAAATTCTTGATAAAATTACAATTGCACCGAACTACTCCACTATCATCCACTATTGAACTTGCGAACAACGTTTCCTCAATGTCTCACAATGAATGAAAATTTGGAAAACATCAATCCAAAGCTATATAAAAGATTGAATGATAGAGAAATCACAGTCGATGAGCAAGATGAAGATGTTGCGGATGGATTTGACGCAAGAGAGATTTTTGGTATGTATAATTTCAAAATATTATCAGTAATCGGCTCTTGTATCTAATTATCTTGTATCCAATTATATGTGCATTATTTTATACATCTAATGTGTCTATATATGTATTTGACATTTGCCATTTGACATTGACCAAGGAATAGTTGTCTTTATTATCTTGTATCCAATTATATGTGCATTATTTTATACATCTAATGTGTCTATATATGTATTTGACATTTGCCATTTGACATTGACCAAGGAATAATTGTCTTTGTTAATTTACATATTATTTAACAATACACACATACTTGATATAATATAGCTATAAATTATATAGCATTATATGTGCATTTTCTAAATAGAAAAGAATCTAATATTGATTACTAATTAATGATTTGTAGATATAATCAGAAACATTAATGATCCAGAACATCCTTTGACCCTGGAAGAACTAAATGTAGTAGAACAGGACCTTATCGAGGTAACATATATATATTTTTGTAAACAGTAACATTCCGGATATTGTTTTATTACATTAATTTGGAGTTGCTAAAGATTCAACTTTATAGGTGGATGATAAAAAGAACAGAGTGGATATAAAATTCACACCCACAATACCTCATTGCAGCATGGCCACTTTAATTGGATTATCCATCCGTGTACAATTGCTGCGTGCTATACCTGCTAGGTTTAAGGTCAGTGTGGAAATTTCACCTGGTACTCATGTCTCGGAGGAAGCAGTGAACAAATGGCTGCAGCTTTAGAAAATTCTATGTTACTTGAAGTGATCAATCAATGCTTAGCCCCAAAGAATTAACATGTATAAATTATAAGATTTACATTTCTACAACAATCACATGCATAATTTTGTTTTACACATACACGCACACATATATATATGGCTTTAAATTACTATGACAAATTTATCTTTTTCATAAATTTTTTGGTCAAAAAAGTGAATGAAATTATTTGGATCTAAATTTAACTAATATCGCAAAATTTAAATTTTTGGATGCGGTACAAATAATGCGCAATAGCTCTTATAATAACAGTAAGATTCTAAATGGACGAATATCAGGAAGAGTTTGACAAATATAACAATTGATCTGGAAGCAAAGCAATAATACGTCAGCTGTAGAAGTTGTAAACCTGAACCAGAAGCAGAGGAAGAATATTTAAGGCAACACCAAGATTCGATTCATGGATCTTCCGCACCACAGCTCACAAGGCAGTTACCGAAGCAATGAGCCAAACAAAACTTTATGCTAGTATATTTCTTCTGCTCGGTTATCTAGATTTCATTTTAGAATCTTACATAATCTAAAAATTAGTCGAAAAATGAATGATTCGAAAAATTATTAGATTTATATATATATATAAAAAAATTGTAATAGAAATATTTGAAGTGTCATATATGCGTGTGTGTGTGTGTGTATATGGTATGTGTAATTAGATATTATGAGAGAAAGAATATTAAAATAAGATTTTAATAAAATTAATATAATTTTAATATGTTAAAATAAAAGCAGAATAAAACGGAAAGAGGGTGGACTCTTACAGAAAATACTTGTATACTGATATTCTATGAACATTGAATATATATATATAAATCAAAATTATATAAATATATTTTTCTTATCGAAATAATATGTATATATGACGGTTATAAAACTTCTGTTTTATGGGTGGCGCCTTGCATACGTTTATTCGCATAAATACATTGTTAGTTTTCTTTTTTATTCAATTCTTTTAACGTGATTCGCTTTCCGACTGCGTTTGTTTGACTCTGGATCTGGACAAATGCTGGAAGCATCGGGACAAAACAAAGATTTCTTTCTCTTGATTAGTCAATCAATGCTTGTTCGCCGTTTAGAAACGCGACTCTTCTCGGCGCTTTACGCTCTACCACATGACTCATGTCATGTGACATGTGTTTTGGTGCAGTTTGGTGCAACATGGCGGTTTTTTCTGTCAAAGTTCGATGAGTCTACACTATCTGGAGAACCATTTCTGCCGTGTCTGGCGTCCGATGAATTAACATTAAAAGATGCCCGTTGACATTAATCGATTGACAGAGGGTTGGCTAGAACTGGAAAGTGATCCGGGTACGTTGATGAAAAATAATGAGGAATATATCTGTCAATAAAATGTGTCAATTTTTGTGTCATTTCTTTCCTACTTTTTAAGAAGCACAAATTTATAACACTTGGAAATTGTAAATTTTTTGCATATGTTGAAGGCTTGTTCACATTGCTCTTGGAAGACTTTGGGGTGAAGGGCGTTCAAGTGGAAGAGATCTACGATCTACAAAAATCTCTCGAAGGTCCGGTCTATGGTTTCATCTTTCTATTTCGTTGGATCGAAGAACGGCGATCAAGACGAAAAGTCGTGGAGCAGGACGAGAGTTTTGTTAAGGATGAAGAGATTGTCAATAATATCTTCTTCGCGCAGCAGGTATAGCATACAATGGTGTTCCTAACATGTCAAATATCTATATCTCTTTTATTTATGTATATAATCTTTATATATTTTTTTTTATAATTATTTTACAACAGGTTGTTCCCAATAGTTGTGCGACTCATGCATTGCTTTCGGTTCTGTTGAATTGTCCAAATATTCACCTGGGTACGACCCTATCTCGATTGAAGATGCATACCTCTGGTATGTGTCCGGAAAACAAGGGCTGGGCGATTGGTAATACACCAGAGCTAGCCTGCGCGCACAATTCGCACGCTATGCCTCAAGCCAAGAGGCGCCAAGACAAAAACACCGGTGTCTCTACAGGCCGCTTTACCGGCGAAGCTTTTCACTTTGTAAGTTATGTACCGATAAACGGCAGACTTTTCGAACTGGATGGTTTGAAACCCTATCCCATGGATCACGGACCATGGAAGGAGCACGAGGAATGGACGGAACAATTTAGACGCGTCATAACCGATCGTTTAGGCATGGCCACGGGCGAACAATTGCAAGACATCAGATTCAATCTGATGGCCGTTGTGCCCGACAGGCGTCTCGCTATCTCGCATAAATTAACAATGCTTAAAACCAATCGACAAATAGTCTTGGAGGCTTTGCAACAATTAGTTAAATTGAGTCATCAAGACGGCAGTAATGCCGAAAAGAACTCGCACGATTCCGACAAAGAGAAGCAATGTGAGAAAAGGCACAAGACTGAGGATGAAAATGGATTGCCTACCAAGACGGAGATTGAAGAATCGTCCTCGATTCCAACTATCAATGTCGAAAGGAATAATGATTCTGCGGTAGTTATGGATGAATCAATTTCCAGTATTGCATCTGGTAAAACCGAATCTAGGTAAATCAAATTTTTATTTTCTTTATTATGATAAAGTGCGTACGATTGTGTTATTTCTAATTTTATTTTAATATTTCAGTTTATAACGTGATTAAATTTTGCGGTTTATATGTAATAGTAGAGAAAAAGAGAGATTAAAACATCGTTTTAATAAAGCTTTTTGTCAATTATCTCAATTTTAAAAAATTGCAATTGTACTCATTTATTTTTTTATAATCGTGATTAATTTATTTCTCAGTGTTGTAAAAACGGTTTTAAAATCGGAATATATGCTTATGTAGCGCTGATTTACATTTGATTTCAGCGGAATGGAGAAAGTAGTGATGTGCGCTCTGGATTATGCCACGCCGCTGCGAATTCAAACCTCGCCGGCTCACAGTTCGTCGAGCACGGACACGTCGTCAGAAATAGGATCGGCCTTCAATTCGCCCACTCAAGGTAAACAGGAAAGGAAAAGAAATGTGTACGCTTTCTATGCAATTCATCATCATTGCGACATATCGCACAATCGTCTAGTAGTGCATACTCTCTTGCCTTGACAAAATATCAAAGCGTTCGGACAACTCATTCGAATCGATTTGATGTCTTCGGATCCCGGCATGCTGTAACAGATGTAATAATGAGAATCGGAAGTGGGATCTTTTATTTTACCGAGCTCCTGGCACAATCTCTCCTCCTCTGTCAATTTTTTGCTAAAATCCGTTGTCGTTTGTTCACGATGCTCGATGAATATCTCATTTACCGGAAGTTTGTTTCCGCACGTTTTTGAGCTCTCGATATCGCAGATTCGCGAGTTCACGTTAAAAGCTGTGTGTAATGGACAAGAGAACTCCACTACGGAAGCCGTTTTCGGATCGCACGTGTAATACCTGTTACAATCGGTCCTGTTCGGCAGACGAACGTTCTTCGTACAGGCTACGACGGTAACGTATCGTGATGTTAATCGAGAAGCGACGGTCTTGTACTCATCGATTGTCAGGTACTGTTTATTCCCTAGATTATCACTAATTCTTATTATGTTGTTGTCATAATCCAGACTATCGATTAGCAATTGCAAAGTGTTCTCTGTCGAAACGTCATTATCCAGGATTGACGCGCTATCATCTGTTTGAGGTGCCTCGTTTTCTTTCATTTCAGTTGGCTTATCATCATCTAACTTCACATTTCCTTCGGTATAACTTTGCACGAAATAATTTAGCGTTATATTATGTTTCCGTTTGTGAGACGCAAATATGGCGATAGCTTTAGGCGGTTTTACGGTTGTAATATCTCTAATAGGTATCGACAGAGAACTCGATATCGCAGATAGCTTCTTGTAATTGTGCAACCGATTAATCAATTCGTTTAGACATTTGTAATGACTATCTATAATATTTTTAAACTCTTCCGTTAGAGACAACGGTACTTGCTTATTCATATAATACTCGTACAAATAATTCTCCTCCTTATGATACGATACATTTCTCACACCCTCATCGTCGCGCATCGTTACGTCCGATTCTTCATATTCGATCAAAGGATACGCGGTTACTGCTTCACTCGTCGGCTCAGAGAAATTATCGATCACATAGGACGAATCGATCACGTTGGAAAAAGGATCCTGCGTGTACCCTAATGAGCTTGTATCCGTTGGATATCCGACAAGTTCGGTGGGTGTCTCGTATTTGTTCGTCACGAGAGTATGCTCGGTCGAAGGCGTCCAATCGCACGTCCAGGTATCACCAGGAACCACGCACATCCGTAAATATGGTTGGAATACCTGTAATCATATTTTAGATATTAGTGTTAGCGGCGCTATTACAATTCCTGAAGCGTCGAGAGGCCTCTAACGTGTTTATTCGCTCGTTAACGTCTTACCAAGCCTTCGGTACATTTCGACGGTATCCACACGTAACCATCGTCAGGTAAATTCACACAATTGTAGAAAATTGTGCAACTCGTGAGATGCGGCTTCTTGGATTCCGGACATCGCGACGAACTTGTCAGAAAGATCGGACTGCACGCGAGAAAGAACGATACGAGCCGCATTTCGTTGTCGCGCAACCTAATCTGCTGCAGAGTGCAATTCGTGTGTCTGCCTTATGAATATTATGTACTTTTCACACGCACACATAACACTCCGTCCCGGAAGACACTTTGTTTCGCACCTTTTATGTACAGTTACTTGACCCGTTTGTTAACATACCGCTCATTGCTAGTTTCTTAGTGATCGTACAGAATTTTGGAAATGCTTTATACGCACAATAAGAGCAAGTATTTTGAGATTGTTTGCACAATATCTCTTTGGAAGCTTTGGATCACCAGAGAAAGGAGGATTTAGAATATCTTGATATCTCTTAGCTTGGGGCTGGAACTCCGGTCAGAGCAGCCCAACGTCGACGAAGGACTTCAAAAAATTTGTAGTGATCAGAGTTGCCGGTGACGAGAAGAATGAAGCGGGTCTGAGTAGGTATCAGATTTACTGCAGTTTAGTAAGATTTATCGTTTCACTTAACATTGAAATTTACGCACAGGCCGTTCTCTGGGAAATATCAATATAAACGGAAAGAGATTGGTTTCCGACAGCGGCCACCTGCACAAGAAGGTCTGCCTATCGGGGGAAGTTAGGATACCTCACGCGAGAGTGAAAACTAGCAATGGGGACACGGTTACGGAAGAGAAAAAGGTTGAGAAGATCGATCCTAAACTCTGCTCTAAATATCCGGAATTGTTTGAGCCGCATACGTTCGCGCCCAAGGATCTTTTGGCGTTGTTAAAAAATTTGGAGCACGAGATCAGCGTGTGCGAAACTAGTCTGAAGGATGAGAATGATAAAAGGAACAAATATAAGGTTCGCACGCTCACGAGTTACGAAGTATCTACTATTTTCTCATGATAGATTATTAATTCGATATCATAATTTATACTTGTAATTATACTTATAATTTATACTAAATACTAAATATACTTATAATTTATGCTTGTAATTAGTAAAATGCTTGGATAATGAATATCTTAGTCTCGAGAGATGATATAGAAATTATGCGAATTTTTCAGATCGACGATTGTCGGAGGACGCATAATTATGACGAATTTATTTGCACGTTTCTCTCGATGCTCGCTCAGCAGGGAAAGCTGGCAGAATTGGTCCAGCAGCATTTAACATTGAAAAAACACACTTCTGTTTCGGTCAACAGGGTTCACAGGTAGACTTTTCGCGGTTTATCTATTAATGTTTAATCGCATCGAATTTTCTCGCAAAATTATTTCGTATAAAATATAGCCTTTTTAAGGTAATTAATTAAATTAATTTATCAAGTTAAATACGCGTTTCTGAAATTTTGATACATTTATTTCCAGGTCGTCGAAAAAGTCCGATACTCGTCAAAATTCCTCGCGCAGACGCCGTGGCAGAACAAAATGTAAGAAACGAAAGTAATCTCTTTCTAACTTTAAAGTTTAGGACAGCATTATTCCGTTTGCTCGGAACTATTTGAATTGTTTATAATAGATAAACTATCTGTCTAAAAACTATCATTTGGTAGTTTTATAAAGATCATGATCACTTTTGTGAAGAAGCCATATATAATTTTTAGCTATAGAATAACGTCGGTTTCTCTCCGAATTATCGACTTTTCAATTTTTGAAAAAAATTCTAGCTTTTTAGCGTAATATAGATATTTTTAGAGACAATTGCGTACGAAACAATTTTAATTCGAATTCGCGATGAATAGAAATTACTTTTTACGAATCAACTCAAGATGCAAATTTATACGCAGACAGATGTATATATTTTTTTCTATTCTTTGTATAATCATGCGTGATATTATCCAGATCGTTGGTATATTTGTGACATTTTGCCTACTCTTGGCGAGTACTTTATTTGTGTTTCTTTTGGATTATATTTCAAATACACGATTTATTAAGAGCGCAAAAAGTATTTGAATCTCTTTCTGTCTTGCACTTTTTTGTCGAATTGCTAGAGAAAAGGGAAAGATGTTAAGAAATTACAAGGAAAAGGGGTTTTGTCAAAAACATTGAAAATATTTATTTATCGGTATTCATATACAAGTACACTACACGCGCTGCGGATATGTCCCTTAGAATCTAAATACTTACATCTCCGAACAGCCGGAGAAAGGAGAACCAAACTTATCAGATTGGTTGGAATTACAGTTTTTATCATAAATTGACGACGGGTTAACGATCCTCGCCTTTGTTTTATCGTTAATATAGTGCATAGGAACTGTAATCGAAACGCGCGCAAACGATTTCAACGGAATACAATGGGAAGGAAGAGAAGGAAGTGAAAGAAAAGGGAAAATGTGGGTGGGAGGATGAAAATGTCATTCCTTCTCCGGCCGATGTTCCAGCGATCCTCGTAACTGCTTTTTGGCAAAAAAAGGTGCGATTGTATGTACAATTTGTAATAATAATATATCGGCTCTCGTCGTAATCATTTGAGGCGCGAGCGAGGCAAAAGTGCGCGAATAATCGGTGTGTGTATGTGTGCGCGCGTGCTTATGTGCATGAAGAATTAAATCTGAAATCATGTCGAGATTTCATCCTGATTGCGGAAAATTGTGGACGCTCGTTAATTAACGATAGAAGACAACACGTTTACAATACTTTCGTTCTTTTCTTGCTGTCAAAACTTTTAATCCCAACAAATTAGCAATCAGTAGTAGAGTCACGGCAAAAAATGCACATGATTCGGTTATTACAGGCACTCTCGGTATTTTAGCGAGTGACGCGACTGTGAGATACAATATGTTGTTGACAAATTTTGTCCCTTTTTTTTTTTTTCTTCCAACATTGGAGCTCGGCGACGATGATTCGGAACATTTTTTATATTGGCTATTTAATATTTAACATTATCGATGCATTTTTGTGTGTACACTTTTAAGCCAAAAAATTGAAAGTTGACAATTAGACAATTAGATTTTTCACGGGAACCGTCATATTCTCGACACCGATTGCGGAATTTTACGCACAAACATACCGTATAAAATATAAAACGTTTACGCTAAAGAGAGTAATGTAAAAGATACGGGGAGTGAGAGGAATATAAACGAGAACCTATTCGCGAGCGATATCGCAGTACAATAAACAGTGTCACGGCGTAGTGAGACGTTTCTACCTTTGTGTGGCTCTTAATAATCGCTCGTCCAATTTCCTCGTCGTCGTTCGCTCCGCCGTAACATAGATGATTAATATACAATAAATAGAGATGCCTCTTCTCAATATATATATAAAATGTATGTATGTATATATGTATTACGGTTATTCCCGAATTAACGTCGATTCGCGCCTTTATCGCTTTACACGTACTTTATCACATGTGGTAAAAATAAACTGTTGATCGAGCGGGATATTAGTTCGCCAATTCCTTCTCCACGATCGCGTCGTCGACTTGTCTGCCGATTACTCGCTTTATCGTCGTCGAGACAACAGATATCCTTTCATTTGTCACTTCGTCGCTTTTGGAAAAAAATCACACTTTGGTTCTAGTTGTGATTTCGACGATTCCCGCTATTCGATTGACAAATCTTACTGTTATATCGAGTACCTCTCCGAATCGACGACGACACAATTAAGCACTGTACACGCGTTATAACTAGTTTCAATGACGATATCGAAAAATACATCAATCTGAAAAAAAAATATATATATGTATATATTCGTGCGTGTAACCACATGCACACGCACGCACGCACTCTTGCAAATATATCCTATGTTACATACACTTATAGGCTCGCTTAATACTTCAATATGCGTAAAATTTCATCTTTCGAGAGAATTTTCCGCATCCTATTATACATACATCAATATTGGCGTTTCTCGTCCGGCGTTTGTAACATAGATGCATTTTTCGTTTTCTTTACATATACATATATACAGACACGCTACTATGTTGATACCGTAGTGATTCGATAACAAAAGTATAAAAAAATAAGAGGCAACATATATAGTCGCGAGAAAACGTCGTCGAAAATTCGGCGCGATTGTCAAAGAAACGCAATCTCGTCATTCTTCTTCCTTCGCATCAAGTTTATATTTACATGATTCGAAAAATCAAAAGAGACAAGTTCCAAGATTAGTGGAGCTTTGTTGAAATTTTGGTGCGATTTTCGAGACGCGAAAAGAAACAATAAATAGGAAGCGAAATTAAAATAAATATTTTAAATCTCTAAATGTCCTAAATAAACATAAATATTGCTTATAAAACTTTCAAACATTTTCGAGATTAACAGAGAACAAAATTTGATTGGCGATAAATAAATGATTCCAATATATTGAAAAATCTAGCTACTTAAAGCTCCACTATGCAAAGTCATTGTCGCTCGTCGCTTGACATGTGAATAAAATGGTGATGACAATATGACGATGCGAATGTCTAACGAAAAAGAAGAGGAAGAAATAATCCCATTTCATACGCTGGAATAAATCGTACTATGAATATCCGATGGTAGTGAGATAGCCGGTTGCGCGAATCGGTGAGTAACTCACATGTAATATAGTGCTTCGTTTGGATGGCGGTGGTGTATCCACCAGAATTCACCGATTATACTTAGTTCGATACAACTGACTGCTCGAATCGACAAAAGTCTAGTTAATGATAATATATAAGAACGATATTAGCCTACCTACGGGAGTTTTATAACGTAACAACCTTACAACACTATAGGTATCGCATCAACTCTTAATTCCTAACTCCGCTTCGTTTCAGGATCAAGAGGGAAGAATGCCTGTAAGTCCTTCGACCGGTAGATCGATCGGAAATTCTAAACGAGCACGATTAATGTCTTTCGTGTATCGTAATAACTTACATTTTTTTTTCATCGAAGAGGAAAATACGATCTACGGGTTGAGGGATTAAAATTTCGCAGGCGAGACTTCTGATTATCAGTTCGGGGTGTCTCAAGCAGATTGATAGTAATCGGAAATTGCAAATTACTACGATTTATATAAATGTTTTATCTCGATAAAACTCGGCGAAATTTCTTTTCATCTTGTGATATCGGCATATTTGCTGATTATATATGATTAGAGAATCATCGATTAGTTCTATCAATATTTTATTAATACGCACTGCATGAGATTATATAATACATATCAAAATAGAGATGAGAGTGATCACGGTATAAGAATTGAGTTTTAGAAGACGAATTTTGTCTCGTGAATATTGTCATCGATCGTTCGAAGATTAATCGCGATTTCTATCCATCTGCTTTCGTTGCATCCACAAACGCGAGAATTCTTTACAATCGTGTTTAAATAAACGTTTAAAAAGTCTCTTTCCAATCAATCGACGATTCTCCCAGCTCGGCATGACATCAGACTCCGCGACGATCCGTCCTTTCCTATGCGTCGTCACGACGACATTTCGACGTCGTTTCCTTTACGTTCAATTTTGAAGAATCCCGGCCATGGGGAAGAGGAGGATTCTCGCGCGATCCCTGCGCGAAAGAAGGGCGGGTCGTGTGTCCTTCACGGCCCGCTGACCGCGGCGGCAGAGTGTCCGGTCACCAAGCCGTCCGCCGCGGCTGCCGCCGCCGCCGCTGCCGCCGCTGCTGCTGCTGCCGAGACCGGTTTTCCAAGGCGGAATATCGACTGTAGGGATGCGACCTCGGACGCCAAACGGTCCAACTTCATCTTTACCTCCCGGTCGCTCTCCGAGACAGCGGTGACGGTCGGGCCAGTCCATTCGGCGCCCAATGAAATGCCAGAGTCGCGCTCGTCACTCGAACCTTCGTTATCCCAGGGCGGTGATGCTCGCGGTCCAGGTTCCTGCTTGATACCTTGAAGCGCCAAAAGCGCGCTCGCGGCGTCCTTGTCGCCGATGCGCGACTTGTGCCTGAGCTTGTGCGGCAGACTGTTGTTGGCGGCCGGATTGTTCTGGGAGACTATCTGAGGACCGCCGGCCTCATCACCGCTACCCGACGAGAGCTCGTACGGCGATTGTGCCCGACGACCGCGCGACGATAGGTTGAGCGCGCTGCTCGGGGAGGTATCCAAATGGTGCATCGCCGGATGCGAGTACGGGTATTGAAAGCTCTCGGTCTCAGGATATGCCGTCGTCTCGGGCACGTAAAGCTGCGAGCCGGGCGATCTGGGTGATCGGGCGCCACTCACCGGCTGATGGATCACCGATGTATGCACCGGGCTTGGCGTGCGAGCGTACAGGAGCGCAGCTGACGCCGGAAGTTTCGCCCGCTTCACGCTGATCGGTGGTTCCGTTGGCAGCGCGGCCAACACGTGCTCGGTACTGATGACAGACTCGCCGCAGATGCCAAACTTGTCGCGTATCGCCTCGAGTTGCGCCTTGAGAATATGGTTCTCCTTGCTCAGCTCCATCACCCGCTGCTCCAGCACCATGTCGTTGAAGCGACGCTTCTCACGCGACCGCTTGGCCGCCTCGTTGTTGCGTCTGCGACGGTCCCAGTAGCTGTCATCCTTCTTGTTGTCGGGAATGAATTCACGCTGCTTACGCTGTGAGAACAGCTCCTTGCGGATGTCAAAATTGGACGAGTAATTGTCGTGATGCGTCGTTACCTGCTGGTCGTGATGAAGATGCTGTTGCTGCTGCTGCTGCTGCTGCTGCTGCTGCTGCTGCGGCGACTGTTGGGCCTGATGGTGATGATGGTGATGTGGCGGTTGCTGCTGCTGCTGCTGCAGTGGCGGTTGCTGCTGCGGTTGATGTTGATGTTGCTGGATCGCGACCGGCGGTCCGCCATGAAGACCGGGATGCGTCAGGGGCACCGTGAGGGGCCCGTGGGCGTCGTGGGGCCCGCTATGGGGCGCGCCATGACCGCCGCCGTGTGCCATTGTGTGCGTAGCCGGTATGTTGCTGTTCAGGCACGCGGTCTCACCATTAATGGGCGATCCACTCTGGCGGGCGACAAATTCTGCCACCATAATTTGTCTTCTTAGTACATCTGGAATGAAAGGGGACTTTAATTAGTTGAATAGCTAAAAAAGATATCTCATCGGTTTGCATAATTTTTAAATTGCAAAAGATTAGAGAGAGAGAGAAATTGTCTTTTAAATCCATATTTTTACTAAAAAGGTAAAGATGTATGATAAAAGGTTTCTTAGGAGGTTTTGCAACATATAATATTTATCTTTATTTTTAAATAATAATTTAAGGTAATTTTTGGAAACAAATTATTCACTTGAACGCAGAAAGTTTTTATCATTCCATCAAACAATAAATGATTTTTGTGGCCGATAACACCGCGCGCATATTTCGACGATCCGAAGACGATCATCGTCTTGACGAGGAGGTGGGTGTAGGTGTGGTCGGGAACTAGATGTGCTCTCGCGCAGCTAAAGATAAAGAATCCCGAGAGATCGGGAGACATGCCCGCGCGGGCACTTCTCTCGCTCAAAGTCGCGAAATAGCCTTGGGTAAGGTAGCGTTCGCAAGGTCGAAGGTGTCGGTGAACTCGGCTCAATCAGCATTCGCTTCGTTCATCTTTCGATTTAGAAGAAGAAAAAAAACGCGGACAAACATAGTTGTTTTGCGAATTTTTAAGCGGTGTTTTACGAAATCGCACCGGTCCTCCTTCATTCTTTCGATTCGAGGTAATTTATGAAAAATTAGAGATTTATGATGGACCAAAGATCGCGATAGATCCTTAATTATTGGCGATTTTTTAAGCTTAGATTCTCTCACTAGTTGATAGAAATATCATCATTGGCGATCAATGCGTGACATAAGCTCGTATAATTAGTTTGTCTCCTCGTCCACGATTATCGGCGCACACGAGAAAAAGCGTTCCCTCGCGGGATTTATTTTTAACCCGCGAATAAAAATACTCCGGCTTTGCCTTTGCGTTTGCGTACATGTATATACAAGCTATACTCCGCGAACTGCGTGTTACGCAACTGCGCACGTGCGTTCGCTAAACCACTCCACGTGGACGTCGAGTGACACTCGGGAAATATATATTTATCTGGCCTTTAATATTTGTTGCACGAATCGCATTAATATTCACGAATTAATTGCAATCCCAAGATGTACGAATACAATGTTTGTTTGTCTCTTCTCTCCCATTGTTTTTTTTTTTCTCTTTCAGATCGGTAATTGAAAAATCACGGAGAATACCACGAGTTAATCGTAAGCCACTTAATATTTGTTGCACGAATCGCATTAATATTCACGAATTAATTGCAATCCCAAGATGTACGAATACAATGTTTGTTTGTCTCTTCTCTCCCTATGTTTTTTTTTCTCTTTCAGATCGGTAATTGAAAAATCACGGAGAATACCACGAGTTAATCGTAAGCCACATCCGGCTGTTGTTGATTTATCTTACGTATGATCTATATATAAAGAATTTATTTTTAGATTAGATAAATTCCATTACGCGTTTCATATGCGAATATTTTAATCACGCTCTATGCTAACCGCGATCACCGCGATAATTCTGCGTAGACTGGAATTCGCGTAAAAAAACGCATGCATTTTTTCGATGGCTATCATACATGGTTCCAAATTTTATGACCATTTATAAGAAAAAAACATGAAAAAGTGTATTCAGTTATATATATATATATTTTTTTTTTTTATATTTTACACGAAAAATTTTTTACACTT